TCTTATACTGCTAAATTAGGGACGGCTAGCGCAGATAGCCCTCGTGTAGCTTTGCGCGAAATTCAGAACAAACAAACAATCTTTTTGGAATGTGCATATAGTAACTTACAAGGATAGGCCATCTACTTTCATTATATTGATATAATATAATTTGACGACCTGTTAATGGAAAACGTGATCAGTGAAACGAAAAACAAATTGTTAAACAATAGATTATAGTAATTACAGTTACAAACTGTTACCTTTGCTAATTGTAGGGTTTGCTATTCCAATTGATATTATCACTGTATTTTTCCCCTAAGAATGCCTACTGACAACATGATTTTATGAAACAGTTTCCACTCTTAATTAGATGATGTTCAGATAAAATTATTTTATATAGGCTATCTAATTGTTCCCTTCCACTAGATGACGATATATTTATTCACCTCGCAGTTCGTGATGATCTATCCAGGACATGTTTTATCACAGCTAGCTGTTAGTGAATGAAAGATAAATGCCAAACTTAAAAATCTAATCACCAACTTAGTGCGTCACTTTCATTGAATTAGAACTGTGTCATTCTTAATTAGACAGAGCTATGAAATTATACGTTTTTTTATTTTTAAGAAGCAACTAATTATCTGTAACATCTATTCAAAAATTAGTTAAGGCTGTGTATCGTCACAGTAGGAAAAACAACTATAACTGAAAAATATGTGGAGAATAGTCATAATATGAGTTCATCATTTTCGATGTCACGTGCCCCCAAGTGGCACAGCGGTATGTCTGCGGACTTACAATGCTAGAAACTGGGTTTCGATACTCGTGGTGGGCAGAGCACAGATAGCCCATTGTGTAGCTTTGTGCTTAACTTACATAAACGAACAAACAATCGATGTTATGCGCCATTAAAATTAACTGTATACTTCTTATGCTTCTTACAGTTGTTTTAATGGTAGGCCATTCTCCCAGTTTATATTCTTCTTATATTAATAAAACCACCTTCTGATTTTAGATATAACTAGTCCATATTGTGGTACTTTTCTAATAATTATTTTGTTCAGGAAAGTTTAAAGAAATTTGTATGAGTATCAAAAAACAAAACGACGCTCATACGTTACCTAACCTTATATTTCATAACTATGGTCATTTAAAAAAAGTTAGTTTTTAAACTAATGAACGTCAGCAAAAATGTTTTACTGTACTATGTATTATGTTATATAAACCTGATAAACATATAATATACTTATATGACCAGAGGTTTAAGCTAAGTGTAAAAAAAATTTGACTTAATGCACAATAGATATTTAGCAATCACATAATTTTTTCAAAAGCCGTTTTAAAATAATACAGCGATATACAAAAGTGCTACTACATATAGACAAGGACGTCATCGGTAAATCTAGGTGCAGAAAAAGGTTGAGCCATGCAGATCCTGATACGTAATACACATATTTATCATCATCATCCGATTCATCATTACCTTGCTTCTTTCATCAAATGAGCGAGAAGCCGCTGGATAGCAGAGCAAATTTACACCTTAACGTGTAATTTAATTGACGGGCCCTTTCTAAAAATGATCAATCACAGTCCAGACGGAATAGCCATACTTTAGGTAAGGCAGATCAGAATCTTGTCTGATTTCAACCATCGTGACCCAAGGCCTTGTCAAATAGTCACTTGACTATAATTGTCTTAAAAATTTAACGTACCTGACAGTGACATAGTACTTTTAGATAAAATGTGGAAGGGCGTTTAACCATCAAATTTTCAGCACTACAAATGAGTCAGGGAACGGAGAAACTCACAGAGTATTTGATATACAAAGTTGTCTGAAAGAAACTCACAGTGTATTTGATACACAGAGTTATCTGAAAGAAACTCATAGAGTATTTGATATACAGAGTTGTCTGAAAGAAACTCACAGTGTATTTGATATACGGAGTTATCTGAAAGAAACTCACAGTGTATTTGATATACAAAGTTGTCTGGAAGAAACTCACAGAGTATTTGATATACAGAGTTGTCTGAAAGAAACTCACAGAGTATTTGATATACAGAGTTGTCTGAAAGAAACTCACAGAGTATTTGATAT